ATAAAAATATATTTTAAAAAGCAAACAACAAAAAACAACTGCATTTAATTTTTTTTTTAAAGGAATTTGCCTCTGTAATCAGTCTTTATCTTGTCCTTATATGTGCTGTTGGTAACTGTCCCTAGATCAGTTTGGGAAGGACTACAGGGTGTGTCTGAGGACTCCCTGTACAATATGAGACTTCTCATCACCTCCATTGCAGGCTCCAGCCCCAGTTGGGTGCATCTGGGAGGCAACCAATCAATGTGTCTCTTTCACATCTATGTTTCTCTCTGTCTCTGCCCCTCCTTCCCACTTTCTCTAAAAAAAATCAATGGAAAAAATATCCTCGGGTGAGTGTTAACAACAACAAAAGTGGCTCCTTGACTAGTGATGGCCGCAAAACATTATGAATATAATTAATGCTACTGAATTATACACGTAAAAATGGTTAGATTGATAAATTTTATGTCATGTATATTTTACCACACACACACACACACACACACACACACACACACACATAAAATGTCTCCTTTGAGGCCTGTGCCATCTGTCCCAGACTCTGCTCCTTCTTGTCATTATTATCCTCATACCTGCTCCCTCCCTCACAATGATCCAGGGCTCGGGTCCAGAACTCAGAATCCTTCTCAATTCTAAGATAGACCTACACTCAAAACAGCAGAAATGACTTTGTGATTCAAATGTGAAACAAAATGATAATATAAACTTACTAGAAAGAAATTTTGGAAGATGTACATCTGATCCTAGGTAGGAGATTCTAGGGGGAATACCAGAATTCACAATGGGGGCAGGGGAGTGCGAGAGACTGCCTTTATTAAAACTTAAAATGCATGAATGAAAGAAAGAAGTCTCCATGATGTCTAAAAACAAATAATAAAAAGAAAGAAATCACTTTCAACAACAGGTAATTCAGAGGAAAATACAAATAACTTGAGAAGATGCTCAGACAAACTAGCAGTTAGCAAAACACAGTTGGGGCAAAGTATGCCCTCTCTCCCCTATGCAATAATAATAATAAGCCAAAATTTAAAACTGAGAACATGTGGAACTGAGAAGGGCAGGGAGGATCAGTATTCTCATCCATTGCTTCTGTCTTTTCATAAAGGAATCTGGTAGCATCTGGTAACATTTTTAATTTGGCATGCATTTTAGGAATCTATCAGAGAGAAATAGGCCATAATGAACAAAAATGTTCACTGTAGTACTTATTTCACCTTCTCTACTAGTCCTCCCAAATCTTTTCCTATCTAGCATGTTCTTCACTTCAGGGCCCCCTACAACTTATTACAACTAGTCTGGCATAGGCTGCTGCCAACAGTCATGCAATAGTGGCAACTGAAGTCACTAAAGATGTAAGGCCTCTTGCCTCATCTGAGCTCAGTGCTGACCAGCAAACTGTCTCTCACCACATGCCTCTCTTTTCCCTTTGTGAAAATTCCAAACTTCTGACTTCCATACATCCCAATCCTATCACTTCCTCCTCCATTCTTAGCATGTGGCCTTGTCTTTTATTTCACAGATAAAATGGGGTTCACCAGACAAGAACAGTCTACATTTTTCTTCCCTATGTTTTCAAACATATCCTAGACACTTCTCCAAAGCGGACATGCAGATGGCCAAGGACAATACGAAAAAATGCTCAAAGTCACTAATCATCTGAGAAATGAAAATTAAAATGGCAATGAGGTATCACCTCACACCTGTCAGAATGGCTATCATCACAAATTGACAAAATGAAAAGTGCAGGTGAGGATGTGGAGAAAAGGAAACCCTGGTGCACTGCTATTGGGAATGCAGACTGGTGCAGCCATTTTGGAAAACAGTCTGGAGTTTCCTCAAAAAATTAAATATGGAACTTCCATTTGACCCAGTATATCCTAAGAAACCTGAAACACTGATCAGAAGGAATATATGCACCCCAATGTTCAGAGCGTAATTTACAATAGCTAAGATTTGGGAACAGCCTAAGTGCCCATCAAATGAGCACATAAAAAAACTGTGGTATATTTACACAATGGAATACTACGAGGCAATAAAAAAAAAATAGAACTCTTACCATCTGCAGTAGCATGAATGGACCTGGAGAGTATTATGCCAAGTTAAATAAGTCAGTCAGAGAAAGATTAGTATCTGTCAAAGAAAAAAACAAAACAAAACATTGAAACCTGTAAAGAATTTTAATGAGTTTATTTAAGCCAAACTGTGGACATATACCGGGAAGCAGAACCTCAATGAATTGAGATAATGCTCCGAAGAATGGAGGGTCACATTTCTATTTATACTTTGCAATCAAAGGAGGGACATAGGTGAGTGATGGATTAAGGAGGCCGGAGAAAGCAAAGCGATGGGAAACCCCTGGGATTGGATAAAAAGTAAAATGATGGACACGTACTCAGGTGGGTACAGGAACAATTAACATGATAACGAAGGAATTTGAGGCATTTGTCCTGGCACCCAGCACATTCGGTTGTGCCCCAGGGGCTCCAGAAAGAAAGGGAAGTTACCAATTACCCAGACATCTCACAGATATGTTATCTTGGAGGCAAAAAAGGCAAATGGGCTCAGTAAAGATCTAAGTTGATCTTTGTCAGGAAAAATATCAGCCTAGGACAGTGTTTTTCAACCTTTTTTGGGCAAAGGCACACTTGTTTCATGAAAAAAATCACGAGGCACACCACCATTAGAAAATGTTAAAAAATTTAACTCTGTGCCTATATTGACTTTATATAAAGTAATTCTCTTGAATAGGAATCAAATAAACACAAAGAAAGTATTTTATAATTACTTTATTATGAAATATTAAGTAAACAAAATAGTGAAAAATTATAAAATTCTTGTCTTGTCTGCACCTACGGCACACCAGGCAACATGTGCCGCGGAACAGCGGTTGAAAAACGCTGCCCTAGGACATAACTACCCACTATAACTTGTTTGTAGCTAAATATTTAATTTCCAGACCATCTTTTGTGGTTATTTTAGGTCTCTGAGTTTGCAAAACTGCCACACAGGCCTCCTCTGAGCTTGTCAGGTTAGTATGTGGCTCCTTTCATCCACATATCACGAGATCTCACTCATATGTGAAATCTAATGAACCAATGATCAAAAATAGACCCAATGACAGCAAACCCAACGCTAGAGGGCAGGGCAAGGACCAGCGGGGGAAAAAAGGGCCCTCGTGCTCTAGGTGGAAAGAGACTGCTCCAGGGAGGTCATTGGTGCCACCAGGGCTGACCTGTAACTGGCACGTTGTTGGGTTTGCTGTCATCTGGAATAATACTTGAAGTTTCGTTATTTGTAAAAGAAGAAATGTTTTTATTTTTTATTTTTTGTTAAAATCACCTGTTATGTTTGTTTGCAAAATTGTAACCTTTTTGCTTCTCAGGAATACAACGGTTGTCTTGCTCTTGATACAGACTGAGAAGCAGCAGTGTGTGAGAGAAGGCTGCCTTCCCACATCTAATAAACAAGCCGCATCTGTTTCTCTCAAAAAAAAAAAAATAGACCCAAGCCAAAACCCGTTTGGCTCAGTGGATAGAGCATCGGCCTGTGGACTCAAGGGTCCCAGGTTTGATTCCGGTCAAGGGCATGTACCTTGGTTGCGGGCACATGCCCAGTAGGGGGTGTTGAAGAGGCAGCTGATCGATGTTTCTCTCTCATAGATGTTTCTGACTTTCTATCCCTCTCCCTTCCTCTCTGTAAAAAAAATCAAAAAAATGTTTTTTTAAAAATAGACCCAAAGACATAGAAGCATGAACAGACTGTTGAACCTAAGAGGGAAGGCAGGGGAGAGTGGGTGGGACAAGATCAACCAATGAACTTGTGTGCATATAAACATAACCCTCGAACACAGACAATGGGGAGGTGAAGGCCTGGGGGAACTAGAGAAGGGGTAAAGGGGAGAATTCGGGATAGTATCTGGCTGGAAGAGGTTATTGGCAGGAAAGGAGGATCTATAGGATATTTTCAACAATAAAGATTTTTAAAAAGAAATCAGGCTGGAGCCAAGTACAAGCAATGAGTGGGCATTTCGGAGTTAAGAATTCTGAAGAGACTGAATCCAGGAAGTCACAGGAGCGACAGCTGTTGAACTGGGTTCTAGGAATCTGTGGGACTTCAACAGGCGGCTAATAACACTGAGGGTCGCCGCAGGGGTTCTTAGCAAAGGCACAAAGACTAAAAAAGAGTTACTTGCTCTTTAGGACACCAGAAATGCGCCCAGGATGGACAAACGTGGGCTGAGGATGCAGAAGAAACCTTGCGAACGAAGTGATGGCAGAGTGTGAGTCACGCAGAATGCTGAGAGTAACAACAAAAATAACAGCACACCCAAGGTACTCAACTGCAGAAAGGAAAGAACAAAGGCGTCGCTAAGAAAGCCAGAACGGCCACAACCCAATCACTCCCTACATCTTCCAGGCACCAACACCAGTGACAGCGAGACCCCAGGCCGCCAAATGGCGAAATAGTGCCTCCCGCAGGCGGCCAATTATCTGGGGAAATACCGCGAGGAGGAGAACTGGAATGAGAACTACAACTCCCATAAAGCCTGGAGCACAAACCCCCAACACACACCGTATTTCCGCTTCCGCCTTCTCACGTGCTCTCGTCCATCAGACCCACCCGGAAGCGGGCCGGGCATGTGATCGCGGGTGACCACACGTGACGAGCGCACCCCTTTTCTCCCTCCCCCTTCCCCCACCACCACCTCCACCCCTACCTCCCACTCCAGCGGAGAAGCCCGGAGGCGGGACTCTGGGATCCATTGGTAGAAAGGCCACCCGAAAAGGTGGAACTCAACTTGAAAATCTCGATAGCGATTGGAGTTGATAGGACAAGGGCGGAGCCTAAGGCCCACGATACTGTCCAATCAGCGTCCAGGACGGCCGGGTTGGGGAAAGGTGGTGAGAAGGTTCTGTGGTTCACCAGCCGCGGGGTCTGGTGGGAGGAGCAGTTGCCCAGCAGCCGCCCGGCGCTTCCTGTTTCCGGTTCCCGGAGCGGAGCACCGCGAGGCGCCGCGGGGGGACGCTGGCTGTGACAAGCCCTCTGGGAACGGGGTCTGCGGCTGGCCCCTCGCTGGCCCTGTCTCCCGGCCCCGGACGGGTCCTCCCCTGGGGAGTCTGAACTTCGGCTGCTCCCTTTGCCCCCGGCACGTGAGTAGGAGGGCTGGGTGATCGCTCACACCTCGGCGTCTTGTGACGGGGGACCGGGATCAGGAAGTGCCCCTTGTCCGGGTTTCCAGCCCAAAACACAGCCAAGGAGCCCTGGAGCGGGGGTGGAGGCGTAGGCGAGGGGGCCGGAGTCGCGGAGTGGGAAGGGAGTGATGAGAAAGGACCCGCCCCCACCTCCCACCCCCAGGCCATGGAGGGGATTTACGTTGTATTTGGGAGGGAGGGAAAAGGAGGGAAAGTCCCTAGGTGTGGAGAGTTCTGGAGGTGTCACTGGATACCTTGGGAGGAATGTTGGCCTGCGTCGCGAGGGAGGTAAAGTAGCAGCGATGGCCCCAGGCAGTTGGAAAGTTAGGAAACTAGAATTCCTAGACCCCCTGGGAGAAGTTGGGGGGTGTGGGGGGGAGTGTGTGGTGTAGGGAAGGGCAGCAGGACAGGGATTCTTCCTGTGTTTCTCTTGGTAGCGAGCTTCTGCCCTTGAGACATAAGAGCTACTCCTCAGGCTTTTTGATCTAATTAGGCTGCTCTTCTCCAAGTGTAGGGGGTGGGAGACAGAGGAGAAGGACTGGTGTGTCCATCAGAAATGAGTCAGAGAAAAGACAGTGGAAATTTCGTTGAAAAGTGGAACTCATGGCTAGGTCTTGGGTGAGGAAGCGAGGGTACAGAGAGACTCAGGGATGGAAGTTGCTTCCCAGTTCCTGGTTTAGTTTTTTGATCTTCCCACCGATGAAGAATTTTGTGGCCTTGCCAAATAGATCTGTCACATGATAAGAAAACGGAAGGGAGCTTTTCAAAATCTACAGCCCTGCCCCACGTTTCCAAAATAATCTAGGCACATCCCCACCTTTGAGGATCTAATGGTAGTGCATTGAAGAGGGACTGCCCAGCCCTTGGATTTCAGACTCTTCCTAATACATTTTTGCACCCCTGTACTTATCAGAAAATTTCCAGCGACTGCCTTTATGCCATGAATCGCCCAAATTGCTCCAGTAACTTCGTACGTATTTAATACTTAATATAATCTAGGACAAGTAACTTAACCACCGTAAAGCATCAGCTTCCTCATTTTTAAAATGGGAGAAATGATATCTGCTTTTCTGGGTTGTGAAGATTAAGTAACGTAATCGAGATAAAGCGCTCAGCATGTGCCACTGAAAGAGAAGAGTATAAATTGATTCTCATCCTAGCTTTTTGAACCAATAAACACGTGAAAACTAGTTTAACTCAGTTAGCGCTGACTGCCTTCTGTCCTTTCCCGATTTTGTGAGATTCTTTATTCTAATTTGGGAGCATAAATCATCAGCTGTTAACGGATGAGGAACTGACGTTGAGGCCAAAGAACACAGCTTTCTGTTTGAACATCCCTCTGGAAAAACTGGTCCTGAGGAGAAAAATCTTGAAAGCCTAGAATGTTGAAACTTTAAATTAGGTCCTTAAGAGAAGGTAAGGAAAATGGCGTGCTAAATCAGCCTAATAAAGGGTATCTTTTGTTTCTCTTCAGTAACTCAGCCGGTCGTGTCGTGTGTTGAGCAACGAGTTAATTTAGGGAAGGTAGGAGTTTGAGGTCTGAGCTCTTTATTCCACCTCCTAGGCAGTGAACTATGTGAGGCGTCACTTCCTCTTCCCATTCCCCTTCTTGCTTTGTCAAAAAGAAAGCAAAGCTTTGGCTGCCTACTCTGGTCCCCCACAAAAACTAATGTGAAAGGAGACAGATATGCATAGAGCGCGTAGACATAGACTGTCAGCTCTGAGAAAAGACGGTAAGAAATTTCTTATCTGGTTCACTCTACTGAGTCTGCCTCATCTGTAAAATAGGGACCGTAATTGTATTGACTGCATAGGGTTCTTGTAAGGGTTAATTAATGTATGTGAAGTGCTTCAAACAATGCCTGGCAGAAGGCAAGCACTCAAAGTGTTTCCTATTGGTGTGTTCATTGTGGTTATGGAACCCTCAGACTTTATGGTTGGATTTAAATCTTCTGTGGAAACACCTTATTAATATTACAGTAGTGGATTAATGTTTGGAGTACACAAAGCCAAGGAGACAACTTTCCATGCATTTGTTGTCCTGGTGGAGTGTGGGAAACCGTGGGTCAAATGTAAACTTGTTTAGGGGAGTGGAGAAGAAGCATTCAGGGCGCAGAGCTTCCATTTTCCTATCTTTAAACTTATCGGTACACCTTAAATTCTGCCTCTTTTCAAGATTTTTATTCTAAAAATGCAGCAAAGGTAGTGGGCAAGCATGGAAAAGAATTAGAGGACTTTAAAGAGTACTGGAACCAAAGTCCAGATTTGTAGTATTGGAAGCATTTTATTGTAAACTAGAGGCCTGGCGCACGAAAATTCATGCACTTGGGGAGATCCCTCAGCCTGGCCTGCACCCTCTCACAGTCCAGGATCCCTCAGGGAATGTCCATCTGCCAGCTTAGGCCTGCTCCCTGGGTGACTGGGCCTAAGCCGGCAGTCAGACATCCCTCTGGCAGCATGGGAACCCTCAGGGGATGTCCAACTAACCGCTAAGTGTTAGTTGGACATCCTTAGCACTGCCACAGAGGAGGGAGAGGCTCCCGCCACCACTGCTGCACTGGCCAGCCATGAGCCAGCTTCTGGCTGAGCAGCACCCTCCTTGTGGAAGCCCATTGTACTCCTGCGTTGAGAATCTGCCCCCTGGTGGTCAGTGCGCATCATAGCCACCTGTCATTCCACCATTAGGGAATGACATATTACCCTTTTATTATATAGGATGAGAAAGATTAGAAAGAATTAAATCTTTGTATCAGAAAAATTAATGATACTGTTATGAAATTAACAAATAGCAGTGGCCTCAAGGGTCATTAATGATACCAGAGTGAAGTCTTTTTTTCAGAGGTAAATCAGTGTGTCCTAGGTATGAAGATAGATAAAAAGAAAACGAGTTTGGGAAATAGGGCCCCATGTTCCATGTTTCTATTCTAGAGCAGTACAAGCAGCAAGTCAATTGGATTGACTAAGTTGTAAAGTGACTTGGTGACCCCCAGGGATTGTCAGGAATTTGGAGTATAGAAAAATAACTGTACTTACTGGACGCCTAGAAATTCTTGAAATTTGTGACTTGTAGAGCCTAAGTTTATCTTTGGAAGACTTCTTCAAACTACTCATTTTGACCTGGTGGATTTTCTTCCTATCTATACATATAAAAGCCTACGCAACCGTTACAACTGAACGACCAGTCAGCCGGTCACTAATACGCGCATTGACCACCTGGGGGCAGATGCTCAACACAGGAGCTGCCCCCGGTGGTCAGTGTGCTCCCACAGGGGGAGTGCTGCTCAGCCAGAAGCTGGGCTCACAGCTGGCGAGCACAGCGACCATGGCGAGGGCCTCACCTGCCACCTTAGCGGGGAGCGGGCCTAAGCTGGCAGGCAGACATCCCCCAAGAGGTCCCAGACTGCAAGAGGGCACATGCCAGGCTGAGGGATCCCTTCCCCCATACCCCACTGGGCCTCTAGTTTCAGTATCAGACAGGGCCCAACGTATTCAGTCTCTTTCTTTTATATCTTTTTTAATAGCTTTCAAACAGAATCTTTCAAGTGTCAATGTGTAATTTGAGAGTTACAGACCCTATCAAGTGTCAGATTGTAATTTGAGTGTTGTCTTAAGGAGGGCCACTGGCTTAAGCAGTATTTATGAACTCTAGCCCCTGCACACACTTCTCAGCTATTCATTTCCTGTGTTTATGGCAAGTTCCAGGCAGAGCCCCCATCCCTCTGGCCTCAACCTCTTCCCTTTAATATGTGGCTGCAAAACTTGTTTGATCCTGCCAGGAGCATATTCTTGTGTCAAAGTTCAAGCCTTGCATGGCCGGTATGGGGAAACTGCACAGTGTTTAAAGTATTAAACTTTAAGTGAGCTATCGCAGTCTAACTTCACCAAACAGTAAAGAGGCAAGGATGTCTCTTCTCAGGCCGTCATCATTCTTCCTTCTGGATTTACCTGTGAATTAGACTGAAGCTTATATGTATGAGCTTCCTGTTGCAGTTGCTTTTGGCAGAGAGATATTAAAATCTGCTATTTGTTGCATATGCCGAAGAATCTTACACTTGCCGCATAATCGAAATATCATTCATTGGTAGAACCTAAGTATTCTGTACCTTGGTTGGTCCTTCTGACAGTTTCTAGAACAAAACAACAACAAAATGTGTCTTTTTTCCCCCAATAGAACTGAGGAGTTGATAAACTGCTTTGGAAGTTGAGATATTCTTTTTAAGCACACCTTGCAGAAATTATCAACAACAGCCTGTAGACAGTAACTCTTCATCAAGGCCAGCAGTGTCCTCTTTGCTGAAGTACATTGTTTCCTGTCCCGAAGGGGCACAGGAAGGACAGCAGGTGAGCAATAGTGTCAGCTAGAGAGGCTTTCAAAATAAGTTGGGGCGAGGAGGGGAGGGTAAGAAGCTTAGAAACCTAAGAATCCAATTGAGAATATTAGGAGACAGGAAAATAATAACTTGGATGAGAGCTAAAAGTTTGAAATAGGCAGATACAAGAAACAAAACCAACTTCACCATAATGAAGAAAACTGGCTATTGTAAAATATGAGGTGATAGGTGGAAGATAAAAAGGTTTAAAAAATACCTTTCATTTGGCACACATTCATATGCCTTATCTCTTTCCCTTCTCTTCTGGATCCTCCCCGCTTCTCCCAGCATACACACTTTCTCCCAAAAGGATGTCCCCCTTCTACAGCTGCTGGGGGACTGGACTGCTGCTGCTGCTCCTCCTGGCCATCACAGTAAGAGAATCCTGGCAGGCAGAAGAAAAAACCTGCGACCTGGTAGGAGAAACGGGGAAAGAATCAGAGAGAGAGCTGGCTGTACTGAAGAGAATGACACCACTGTTCACCAAAAGGTAAAAATGAGAAGAACCTTAACGAGCTAAAGAAAATATTTTTTTTCCCTCCCTAGCCTCTCCAGACAACCTATGGTACTCATCCCACCTCCACAGACCCAGCTCTCCAACTTTGGATAGTCCCCAGATCTCCGGACCCCAGGACCTGACAGACCCTAACTTCCCTCTCCCCACCCCCCGTACCCCGGGCCCAGGGGCTCTTGGAGGGAGGTGGTTATAGGTGATACCAGAGAAGGGCTTTTTTGTTGTTATCCTCACCCCAATATATTTTTTCCATTGATTTGTAGGAGGATGGCAGGGAGGGAGGGGAGAGAGAGAAAGAAAGAAACATCAAGACACATCGATTGGTTGCCTCCCGCAAGTGCCCTGATGCACCCATGCCCTGAAGGGTGCACCCATGCCCTGCAACTTGGGTATGTGCCCTTGATGGGGAATCGAACCTGAGACCCTTCAGTGTGTGGGTCAGTGCTTTAACCACTGAGAAACAACCATTGCAAAGAAGGGCTTTTTTAAAAGACTTTTTCAACTCTTACTGATTTTATTTTGGTATTACTATTAAATATGCAGGGAATACATGTATAATACCCTCCCCTCTATCTTTATCTGGGATAGCTAGTGCTATCATGCTTACTTTTATGATACAGAGCAAATTCTCACCCAGTTTTTGTAGCTTTATGCATTTCTCTAATGCAGAAGAAGAGCTGCTTCTAAGGCTGGATCCAAGAGACCAGCTTGTAGGAATTTAAAAAGCATTATTAAATTCTTACATGTAATAGGACTTTAGAAGTATCAGATAAGCATATTTATGCCTATGCATGTCATCATCAGTGTTGAGAATCTTCAGTTCTATAAATCTGAAGATGAGATGAAGGAACAAGAGAGTATCCCATGAACATAGACCCTTATTCATAGGGAAATGGTAGCTAGCACTTTAGCAAAGTCCAGAGCAGAGATACTCTAGGAATAGCTAGCTGTCTGCGTGGCATATTTAAATCAGTCATCATCAGCAATTAGGATGGTCTGTCCTAATTGATGAGACGTTAAAGTAGATAATGCCAATTTTAGATACTATGGCTGTTTCATCTCTTATTCATCATTCTGGTGAATATGCAGGAAGACTGTCAGGGTCATTGTTGTCTCATGATTTAGCAAATATTCATTGTTACATTTAGCCATGACATCAGATAAATTGAATGCACCTTTTTGGGGATCAGAGGTTGGAGGGTAAAAGGAAGAAAGGCTAATAGCTAATAACTCTCCTCTTCTTTCTCCTCACTTCCTGACAGCTTTGAGAGCACTGTGGGCCAGGGCCAAGACACCTATATGTACAGATTCAGAGTGTGCAGGGAAGCTGGTAACCACTCCTCCGGGGCAGGCCTGGTGCAGATCAACAAAAGTAACGGGAAGGAGACTGTGGTGGGGAGAATCAACGAGACTCACATCTACAATGGAAGTAAGACTCTCACTGTTGTCTGATCAATTGATCCCAAATCAGTCTCTCAGGCAATCCTATATGTCTCCCCCAGTCTCTTCAGAACTTCATATGGTATGTGTGGTTCAGCATACCTGAGACTATAAACCACAGGGAACTTAGTCCCACAGATCCTCTGAGCCAATGCTCAGGAATTTATGTATTTGTTTTAAAGTTAGGGGAAAGCTTACGCAAAGAAAGAAGAATTTAATGGAATTATATAGACTGGGGCTTGAAAATGTCAACCACGACCTTTTCTCATCAGATTAATCAGACTTTGCCAGTAAAGTTATAAGAGGTCAAGTTTTGCAAACCCGTCTACAAAAATTTCTCCACCAACTTGTGATAATGATGGTGATAATATTTCTCAAAAGTCAGTCTTATTGCTGGAAAAGATTACGTAAGCACTTACAATCTAGCTCGCTCTGCTTGCCTCAGCTGGCCACCCGCCCACCGCCACGGATTTGTGCCCGAGTAGCGAGTAGCTCGCTGCCGCCTGCCCATCACCGCTAGTCCCTATCTACTGCTTGTAGCTCACTGCCCCGCCCTCCTGTAGCTCTCCACATTTGTAGATTGGTTGTGATGTTATGGTGTAACGGATAATTAGCAGATTCCTCTCGTATAGAATTCTTTCCCTTAAGGCGGGCCTGAGGAACTTTTTTTCTGCCAAGGGCCATTTGGATATCTGTTATATCATTCGCAGGCCATTATCAATTTAAAAGTTAGTCTCCTGCCCTGACCGGTTTGGCTCAGTGGATCGAGTGTCGGCCTGCAGATTGAAGGGTCCCTAGTTCGATTCCAGTCAAGGGCATGTACCTTGGTTGCGGGCACATTCCCAGTAGGGGCTGTGTAGGAGGCAGCTGATTGATGTTTCTCTCTCATCAATGTCTCTAACTCTCTATCCCTCCCTTCCTCTCTATAAAAAAAAAAATCAATAAATATATTCAGTAAATAAATAAATAAATAAATAAAATAAAAGTTAGCCGCCTATATTTGGCCAAACATTGAATTAACTCACCCCTAAAGCCTTGGTGAGCCAGACCAAATGCTTTCCCTGCCCTTCTGCAGCCCTCAGGCCAGGCATTCCCCACCCCTGCCTGAAGCTGATAAATTATCCCCCTAAATAATATAAATGACAAAAGACTGAGTTTTGACCCATTTTATATTGACTTTAATGACTGAGAAATCATTTTACCTTTTTTACTGTTTTCATATATGCAAAATTGGAAGCAGAATCCTTACCTTACTGAGCCTACATGACTTTTTGAATCAAATATTTTGCAAAAGAAATTTGAAAAAAAGAAGAAATGCCTCCCAGTCTTAAAAAACAGCCACTGTGAACTTCTCTGTGGCTAATTTAAATCCTGGGCTTTCCCCACCACCCACTAACTGTAAGGGGCGGCTTCCTTTGATGTGTGCCATTGTTAAGGAATGGATCACAATTCGTTTTGTACTATCAGTAATCTGCCTTTAATGTGGAAAGTTAAGATTTTACTTTTAATTGATTGATTGATTTTTTTAAAATTTTTGTTGATTTCAGAGAGGAAGAGAGGGATAGAGAGAGAAAAACATCAGTGATGAGAGAGAATCACTGATCGGCTGCCTCCTGCACCCCCCTACTGGGCATTGAGCCCGAAATCCAGGCATGTGCCCTTAGCCGGAATTGAACCTGGAACTCCAGTCCACCGCCAATGCTCTATCCACTGAGCCAAACTGGCTAAGGTGAAAATTAAGATTCTTGTATGAATATTAGACAACTTCTTAGTTATCTAAGCAAGGGAATATAAAGCAAGTTTTAGCTTGGCATTTCCAGTATTCAGAGTTCATACTGATGAGGGTTATTTTAATTAAAACCGATGTGTCTGAACATCCCAATTCCATCTTATCACAGTATCCAGGTCTGTCTCTGCTTTTCCCCCACCCCCAAAGCTCCATTTTCCTTGTGCCTCTTCAGGTAATTGGATTATGCTGATCTATAAAGGGGGTGATGAATATGACAATCACTGTGGCAAGGAGCAGCGCCGTGCAGTGGTGATGATCTCCTGCAATCGACATACCCTAGCGGTGAGGCGCCCGGGGGCATGTGAGCCTAACGAGATACCAGGACTGACCTGAGGTGGGAGAGACCTTCCAGAGGGTACAAGATACTTTGGGATGGAATAGGGAAAACTCGAGGTTCAATTCTTTCCTGCATCGAGATACCAGTCTTCCAGTAGACGTGGAAAATTGGACCGGGAAAACAATGTTGGGAGTCCCAACATTTTAAATGTGTCTTGCCCTTTCATCATCAGGACAATTTTATCCCTGTGTCCGAGGAGCGAGGCAAAGTCCAAGAATGTTTCTACCTCTTTGAGATGGAGAGTAGCGTGGCCTGTCCCCCAGAGGTCTCCCACCTCAGTGTGGGCTCTATCTTACTTGTCACGTAAGTGCTCTTTTTTTCCTTATCAATCCAAGCCTTTCCCTTTTTTCTTTTTCTTTTGTTTTAGTCCTCACCTGATTATATGTTTTTAATGATTTTTAAATAGAGAGGAAGGGACGGGGGAAGGAAAAGAGAAACATCCATCGATTGCCTCCCACTTGAGCCCCAACCCAGGAATCAAACCCACAGCTTGGGTATGTGCCCTGACTGAGACGACACTCCCAACTAAGCTGCACCAGCCAGGGCTCCCTTTTATTTTATTTTTTTAATTCATAATTTCTTGGATGCATATGGACATAAGTTTTGTAAGAGCGGGGAGAGATCATTGGGAGGTGAAAATCCTCACTAAACTATACAAAGTATAATAAATATTCACATTTGAAGGTGCATTTCCCCTGCTGGAGAGCTGGACAGTATTTAATTCTATCCATTAGAATAGCAGTTTTCAGCCAGTGTGCTGTGATACACTAGTGTGCTACAAGAAATTTTAAAACATGCAATCCGGACTAATAAAGGGCACTGATCTCTTTTCCCTTAAATTATCAAATTGAAAAATGACAACAGCCCAGCTGGGGTGGCTCACTACAGGAGCATTAACATATGAACCAGGAGGTGATGGTTCGATTCCCTGTCAGGGGATATGCCCAGGTTTTAAGCTGTTTCCCCAGTAGGAGGTACGCAGGAAGTTGCAGATAAGTGATTCTCATCATTAATGTTTCTCTCTCCCCTTCTCCTTGCCTGAAATCAATTTTTAAAAATTTAATTTTTTTAAATAATGACCCTGTCTGATGTGGCTCAGTTGCTTGGAGCATTGTCCTGTGCACCAAAAGGTCATTCCCAAACCCGGTCAGGGCACATGCCCAGTTTCAGGTTCCATCCCTGAAGGGGTACATACAGGAGACAGCCATCAATGCTTCTCCTTCCCTCTCCCTTTCTCTTTCTCTAAAATCGGGTTGTTTTTTTTTTTTTAGCCCTGGCCTGTGTGGCTCAGTTGGTTGGAGAATTATTCTATACGCTGAAAGGTTGTGGGTTCGATTCCTGGTCAGGGCAAATACCTGGGTTGTAGCTTTGAGCTCTGGTCAAGAGGCAACCGATTGATGTTTCTCTCTCCCCTCTCTTCCTCTCTAAATTTTTTTTTTTTTTTTAATGTATCCAAGATGAGGATTAAAAGAGTTATTTTAAAGTTTTTTTAAAAAAATGAAACAACCAACACAGGAATAGTCCTCTGGTATGAATGAGTCAAAATTACACTTTTTTTTTGTCATATTTGCAAAAAATATATTTTCAGATGTGCTGCAGATGGTTAAAAATTGCTGCATTAGATTATTAGAACTTTTGGACAGACAGAATCATGTATATAAGAGTGACTGTTGCCAGAAGTAGTCGTTTTTTTGTGAGCGATTTGCTTTTCTCAGACAATGCTCTAATTGGTTTTCTAGGGAAGCTACCAGTCCTTTTTCATTTAATTTCACTACCTTTCCCCCTTGTTTTTATAAAGCACAGCTCACAAAACAGCTAACAGTGAGTACAGAGATTATCCTTAGTACCTGAGTTTTGCTGTTTCTTGGTTTTTTTAAAGTATAGCTCTTTCTTCAACAGGTTTGCCTCACTGGTTGCTGTCTATATCATCGGGGGGTTCCTGTACCAGCGATTGGTGGTGGGAGCCAAGGGAATGGAGCAGTTTCCCCACTTGGCCTTCTGGCAGGATGTTGGCAACCTGGTAGCAGTAAGTAACAGGGCAGCTGGCCGGGCCTGTGACCTGCACACAAGGTTGAGTGACCAACCAGCTGGTTTGCCCAGACAGGTTTCCTGAGACACAGCATACCAAGTCAGTTGGTTGCCCCTAGTACTAAGCAGCATAGCCTCTTACTGTCCGGCCTCGCTAAGACTTGGCTAGAAGAGCAATACTGCTGCTTAGATTTAAGAATCTGATACAGCTGTTCAGGGGCCTAGATAGGAAGGTAAGACCTAATTAGAATTTTTCTCCCATTTCCTCACATTCAATTTAGGCCATTTGTTGAGCTTTGAGGGTTTCTCTTCATTATACCTGGAGAAAACTAGTGCTTGCACATTCTTAGACCATAAATATACTTTGCCTTACCTTAAAGTTGGTTATTCCAAATGACCATTTTCTTCCTTTCTTTCCCTACAGGATGGCTGTGACTTTGTGTGCCGTTCTAAACCCAGAAATGTGCCTGCTACATACCGTGGTGTGGGGGATGATCAGCTGGGGGAGGATTCAGAAGAAAGGGATGATCATTTACTACCAATGTGAATGCACTTTATACACCCAGCATCTTCAGACCCCCCGAACCAAAGCATACTCAGCCAGATTTCTTACGCAGTCTATTGCAGCCTCGCACCCTCCCCTTCATGTTGCTCTTGCTTTCAGTTTGCTTTTGGTTTACATCCTTTTCTCACTATAGAAATGCCTTCCCTTTGTTCCCTATGTTTGTTTTTCCTTCTAGAGAGGTACTATAAGGCCTGTGACAAAAGGCACGATGCCTTGGTATAGGAAGGTACATGTAGGATTAAACGAGCAAAAGGATGGCAGATGTGCTGGCCTTTTCAAACACCTTTTCACACGTTTTTGAGACACTGGAGTTCTTTAAAAAAGCAAAGAAAATTTATTTATACAAGATTTGGTTGCTTTCATGCTCGTAGTCTCCATAAGAACCTGCATTAAGTTCTTGCTGCTTGGGGCTACTTTGCAGTCAATACTTGTAGTCCAAGTAGTCATTTGGTCTGAACCTGGGGATGTGACAGACCCGCTTTGTGGGGTTAGGATGGGAAAATGTGAAATTTCCCAGTCGGAAGCCTAGAAGGCACCATCCCATCGTTCATCGGCATTACAGTAACTTTGGCCCTGGATTGTGGTCTTGCAGTTATTAGTCCACGTGTAGCCAAAACGCCTAATCCACAAACCTAGTCTTAAAAAGGGAAACTGAAAGTGATCTCTCCCACTTGGAGTTGAAGTTGTCAAAGCCTTTCTTACCAGTGTTTCTAAACATGTAGCACTTTCTTCACAGGCATGTCATTTTGACTTTTTTTTTAATCTGGAAAGGGAATGGAGATAGAAGCAGGATACCTAGGGCCCTGCATTCTCTGCTCTGGGTGTGGGATTCTGCTATACCTGTCCCTGCTTCTGGCTCAGGGAAGTCTCTTCTTGCCCACATCTCTGGGGGAAGTTTTTAATGCTCTCCACCTTTCTATTTAGGCCATGTGCCCAGAAGCCTGGCCTGATCTTTATTTAATAGTGAACCTGTGCCATTGAAGAGTAACCTGGCTCCATGGGGCACAAGAGGATGGAATCCACCGGCAGGGGCCTTTCATAGCCTTAGAGGAGAAATTTATTTCATCCTTGGACTTTTAAATACTGTTGGAATGACTTTTTTCTTTATAAACAGGGAAAATAATGTTACAAAAAAGCATCTTTTTGTTATTTGTTTGCACCCTTCCCCCACACTCTAGTGTTTTAAAAATGCAAAAAAGAAAAAAAAACCTAACATTTTTATACAAAAACACTTGAAAGATTAAAAAAAAAAAAAAACCATGTTGGCCTAGTTATTTGTGTGAAAGGTAGAGACTAGAAACGCTGGTTTAGAGTAAGACAACTGAGACCAATTTTTATCCTTTTACTGAAGAGGAAAAAAATATTGAATATTTTTGTTGTATAAGGAATAGCGCCTAGGGCAGGCGCTTCTGACCTCAGCTCCACACACTCCTGTTTTATAAAGCTATAGGACACAGCAGAGTTGGAACTAAAAGTAGAAGACAACAGATAAATTGGAAAGAAGTAGGGGGGGGTACAGGAAGAATGACAACAGCCACATGTATGCCAAACACTTTTAGTCCCTGCAGCAAATCAGAATGATGCCAGCCAAGTGCCTACACTAGCTGGTGAGCCTGCCACGGATGGAGGAGAAAAAATAGGGAGTGATGACAAAATCGCCATAGCTACAGTCACAATCCAGAGGGAGTACTGGATTTTACCTCTTGTGTCAAGCTGTAAGAACCCTCCTCCCATTAGGGAGGTGCACCTGCCTTCCACCCATTTCCTTGCCTTACTATACTGTGTCTTGGAGAACTAAGACCCTGGCCACTCCACTCCAGGAAAAGGCTGAGCAGTACTTGTTCTCTGTAGAGTTCATTTTTATATAAAGATTGGAATAGGATAGATGAAAATGGTAAGAACTGTAAAGATTTTAGAAAATGAAGTAGAACCCAGAGAAAATGTCCAAGCTCCACCATGTAGCACCAGCAACCAATTCTTGCACTTTCCTTCCCTCTGTTAGTAATCCCCTCCACAGATTCACGTAATTGGAAAAGTCATTTATTCCCTGTAAAGTCGCAGGCACCAGGCAGGTGACAGCCTGGACAATGGAGAGTGTCTGCCTTCGGCTGCTTTGTGCAAGAAGGCCACCTTAGGTCTCCTTGAGGACATTGATCTTGGCGCAGATCTTGAGGGCTGGGCCCAGCTTGATGTTCATGGCACTCATAAGATGTTCCTCTTTAAGTAATAAAAGGGCCTGTCCATCAATCTCCTGGGAACGAAACTCCTCTGCAATCTCTTGACAGCCTAGAAGAAAATGGGAATATGTATGAGAAAGTATACGGTAGCACCACATAGGAGGGACAAAAAACATGCAAACGCAATGGTTAATCCCAAAGTATGTGTCCTAAAATCAATAGTATGAAGATTTGAGACAAACTTTGGAAGAAAGGGAAATCAGCAAATGGCTAAAAGAAAGCCAAGATCATGGAGGAACTAAGTTCTAATCATAGAAATAACCATTCAAAATAGCCTTAGGTGGGGGGAATGGTGGGAACAAAAATAAATGTTTTCTTTTACACTGGCAAGAAAGGTTCAAATGAGCCTTTGTGACACTTCTTTAAGAGCACAGAACTCGAACAAATAGCAAAAAGGGCAGGGTGATTTCTGGAGAAAATCCTTGTCAAGAAGAGCTCATAAACATCCCTGCTTTGAAGAGAGGAGCAACAATGGCTCTTCCTCCACTGAAAGTCGTCTATCCATGGTAGGTATCACAGTCACACATAAAAATGTGCTTTATCCAAAAATTACTTGGTAAGAAAGCTGAATCAGGAGATGAAAAACACTGAAATTGCTGACATAACGATGACAATCCAGATGGAATCAGTTGACCAGCCTATAGGCACGTAAGTTGAATAAATATAAATATAACCTTCAAGCTTCTATGCTTAAAAGTCAGTTATGTTCCCTGTTCTCAAGGCTGTGCGAAGAGCTCAGGAAAACTAAGTACATATGTGACCTGAGTTCTTTCGGATAGGCCCTCAGTACCTTGTAGAGAAGCGATAAACTCATACACCTCCTCTACACTCCAACGGCTGGGATTACTAGACAGGAACACAGGGTTGATGCCGTGTAATTCTGGGGTAGGTGGAGCTGTGTTGGGGTTCCCCAGGTCTCGATCTCCATGCCCCACTCTCACTGATAAAGGCCCAGGAGATGTTGGAGAGAGTGCTTCATCATAACTGGAATTATCTGAACCCCGGCTAGAGTCCTCTTGACCCTATAAAGAAAACCGAAAAACAGATCATGAATAGGTTTCCTCTGCTCTCCCCAACCACCCTGCATTTGGGTTCATGTCGGGCATGGAAAAAAACTGAATCTTATCACAGTTTTTTGTACTTCATTTGCAAATGTCCACTCACCTGTCTACTCTCAAGTGCCTTTCAAGTATAAACTATCACTCTTGATTCTCCCCTTCTACCAATGATCTAGATTAGGGGTGTCGAACTCAATCAGAGAAGGGGCCAAAATCTAAAATCCAGCTTAAATCGCGGGCCAAATGGTTTACTGAACAGTCATAAACTGTCATTGTGATGGAAACGCAGCGGAGTGCAGTGATGACAGCGCGGTGCGGGCCACATTGCAAGGCCTGGCGGGACGGATTTGGCCCGAGGGCCTTGTGTTTGACACATGACACATGTGATCTAGATGTTCCCTACTCAAATGTAAGGATTAATGGATGCATAAACCAGCAATCAGAGGAGAGAAGAAAAAACAAGTCAGGATCTTTAAATCTGGAGTAAGGCAATCAATGCAAAACCGGAGTTCTGATCTCACACTGGTTAGGGCCATTTTAAAAGTAGCTGGCACTGGGACGGCAGCTCACCCGGTGTCGCTTGCCCTGGATCTTGGCACGGGCGATGTCGGAGGAGCTGCGGCGGGGTCCACGCCGACGAACACGAGCATAATTGACTTCTTGAAACTCTTTCATTTTTTTCCTCTTCAGCCGAAACTGGTGGCTGCAGCTCACATTATACCTACCGATCAGGCACAGGTAGGAGATCAAAGGTGCTACAGAAAACTACCTTGTTACCCTAAGCTGAAGGTGAGTTGGTATTTTAAGAGCTGATTTGGAGAAGACTAGGGAAGCAAAGGAGACACTCAAGGATCAGCTGTGAGACTGATGATCCCAGGGAAGGGCTATAGTTTTAGATTAAAACACTGCTGCCGAAACCGGTTTGGCTCAGTGGTAGAGCGTTGGTCTGCGGACTGAAGGGTCCCAGGTTCAATTCCGGTCAAGGGCATGTACATTGGTTGCGGGCACATCCCCAGTAGTGGGTGTGCAGGAGGCAGCTTGTAGATGTTTCTAGCTCTCTATCCCTCTCCCTTCCTCTCTGTAAAAAAATCAATAAAATATTTAAATAAAAAACAAAAAAAAACAAAAAAACCACTGCTGAAGGTAAGGAGGGGGAGCCTCCAGTACCTCTTAGCACAAGTCATGGAGCAGAATCTCTTGGAGCCTCGAAACTGGTCTGCAGGGGCGTACTTTCCACAGTATTCGCACTTCAGGAGATTCGCCTTCTTATCGAGCTCTGAAAAACAAGGCATCCCTCGAAAGCTGCCATGGGTTTCTGCTGCTGCTCAAACCCTCAGTAGGCCCAGAGCTGGACTCTAATTACTCTCCGAATTTCCCCCCAAAGGCCTACACCACCCTAAAGCATCAAGTTCAAATTCCAGGATCATAAAGGCATGTTCATTTTAGCCTTCCTATCCTTAAGCTAGACTATTTCTATTCTGATTACAAATTTATCCCAATTCAAACTCTCAGATTTCAAAGAAGATGGCATCTCTGAACAGGAGAAAGGAAGTAATTTCTAATGCCCAGAAAGATATCCCTCTCCCACAAAGTTCCCAAAAGCAGAAAGGAAATGTAAGTAAGTCTTTAATATAGATTATAAAACCTAAAGAGAACTGGAAATTTAGAAATACCCTATTTTATTTAGGTTATCTTTTGAAAAATATACCCTTATAGCAAATAATTTAACAGCTTATTTTAGCCTGACAAAATTCCCCCTAATCCTGTGGAATTCCTTTTGTATGATCTACATATTCTAGGATGTGATATAGTGTCTGTCTGGATGCACATTATATAATTCCCACTTTAAACGGATGATTACTATTTTATACTGAGTCTTCAAACACATCTGCATGAGCCTCCTTCCCCAGATGGGTCAATAAGTAAACACTTACCAGCAGACGGGCTGTCCCCTCCCAAGGGGCCACAGGACTGGTTCTCGTTCAGCCCCGTCAGGAGGCCCGTCTGTAGAGGCTTCTCAGACTCTTTCAGTAACTGAGAACAGCCCACCTGTCCCAGAAGAGGGTCACAGTTAAGTTGGCCTAATTCCTTTCTGCTTCTCCACAGCTTTCCCCGGCATTTCTCCCCATCATGCCTTTGCCTGGATTCCTAAGCTAATGGTCAAGTCTGATTCAGAGAGAATCATTTTCAATATAGGAATCAAGAGCCTAAACCAGGCTTTTTTCAGACAAACACGAGAACAAATTCTTACCCCGGCTCCGTTTTGTCCTTTCCTTCCTAAATTGAGGGAATCCACTAGCAGTCAGGATACCTACGTTCTAGTTTTGCAACTCGTGGTACTTAGGGTAGTCCGTTAACTTTCTACCATAATTCTCTTCACTATAAACCAAACCTAGTTTGTCTAACAAAATATTACAGCTTTTAAGGCCTTTTCTTCTCTTCTTCCTAAAACTTTCATTTTCTGGCCCGCATATTATTTCTTTTTCTCTTCCTTCTTTTATAACTTACCAAATGAACAACAAAACTGAATCATTCTCTAGTAACTAAATAGCTCTGAGCCTTCAGATTTTAGTGGCATTTGCAAAGACCAGTCAGTCCAAGCCCCCCCACTGGAAAGTCCCATCCTCCGGCGCCCTCACCGGGAAAGGCTCTGCTCCTTCCTGGATGACGAAGCCTTCGATGATGTGGGTGAGGATCTGGGGCTTCACAATGGCCTGTGGGGGTTTTGAGTCGCCCATCTGTCTGGACACCATGGCTAGTGTAGGAGGTGGTGCTGATGGGGCAGGAGCCAAGGATATTAGTTCACTGCTTGAGGTATTAGCATTCACATTGGTCACTGATTCAACTTTTTCTGGAAAATAAACACAAATTAAGGGACAGATATGGGATAATGTAACTGACCCCTCTACCCTGTTTCCCCGAAAATAAGACAGTGTCTTATATTAATTTTTGCTCCCAAAGATGCGCTAGGTCTTATTTTCAGGGGATGTCTTATTTTTCCATGAAGAAGAATACGGTACACCTTCATTGTTAAATGAAAATAAAGGAAATTTATTACCTGTATACGGTACGGTAGTACGGTAGTTGTCAATACAAACCAGACAAACTGTGAATCCTACAGTATCAAGAATTTACTCATTTATTCAATGACAATCATGTCATCATCTTCTGGAACATCATCATAACATCCAATTCCTGAATTTCCTGGTGAATTTCTTGTGACTCCATTTCTTTCAGAATCAGTGAACCAAATCTCTCATGTTTAGCCTAGGGGGGACCTTATTTTCAGGGGGATGCCTTATATTTCACTCAGAAGGAAACGTGTAAGTAGGTCTTATTTTTGGAGGATGTCTTATTTTCGGGGAAACACAGTATTAGCCAAGCCAGCCTAATCTTCGACAATAATACATGTTCACCTTTTTTTTTCCCCCAGAGAGAGGAACGGAGGAGGAGAGACAGATAGAAACATCAAGGATGAGAATCATCCATCAGCTGCCTTTTGCATGCCCCCTCGAATCCACATTGAGCCACACCAGCAGGGCTGCATGTTCACCTTTGCTCATTCACCCTGGATTTCGTTTTCTCAATCTACTCATTTGTCCATCAAGTTCAGACCCACACTCTACGGTCTGTCAGCACCCTCACTCGGAATGGTAATCTCTGTGTACTCCAACAGCGCTGCCGGAGGCAGCCTCTCACCTCCAAAGCCGCTCTTCTCCTCCATGGCCTTTGGGCTCTCTGCTACCGGAGACGCCTTGGCAGGAAGCATGGAACCCAATGTGGAGACGTCATCTCTCTCCTCCTCAGACTCAGCCTTGCGTTTCACACCCAATGTCTGGGGCTTACCCTATAAAGAAAAGAACAGAAAAGAAAACAAGAGTTATAAGTAAAGGAAGATAAGGAACCATAAATACTCCCTATTTTCAGAGAAAATTTCCTTAGTTCCAGATTCCCCAATTTGTATACTTCTGACAGTACTTTAAAATTCCTGGTCATTCCCAAGAAGTTTAACTTCCACCTCAGGACAAAAGAAAAAGCAACATTCATTAGTCCGGACATAGGCCTGGAGACCCCGGATTCATATGGCCCAACTAAGAACTGTTGTTTTCTAAAGATTATTTAGGTGGCCACAGCTATCTTGACCTAACCTAGTGCAGATCCAAAACCCAGAAAGACTTCAGTAGCAGATTTAGAAGTATGAAGTTCAGATATTACATACATTAACATCACTCTCTCTTACAAAAAGAATACCAGTATCTTAAGTTTCCATTAACCTCTCTCTCACAAAAGGAACAAAGAAATACCTTCTAAACTCTTCATTCCCCTACTAAGATAAGCTCCAATTCTACTCAGCCACAGTGCCCCCCTGGCTGGGTTGCTCAGTTGGTTAGTGTCATCCTGACATGCCAAGGTTGTAGGTGGGTTCAATCCCCAAGCAGGGCACATAGAAGAATCAACCAACAAACGCATAAGTAAGTATAGCAACATATCCCTGCCCCCCCTCTCTAAAACCAACCAACCAATAAATTTTTCTTTTAATTAAAAAAAAAGAGAGTGACAGTACCCTCCAAACGGTCAGACATCACTCACCGGCAGGTGCACAGACTGCATGTAGAAGGCAGCAGGGACCTGGGCTACAACAGGTGAGGAGGAGGCAGCCCCGCCCTTTACTACATGTGCTGTCCCCTGCACAGGAGCAAGGGTCATCCCAGAGGTCAATGTGGAAGGGCACTCCTGCAGCGCACCAGGAGCCTGGGATGATGGTGGCGACGAGGCCAAATGGGCCTGACTGGGCTGCATTGTGCCCGGCATCCCCCGGGAAGTAGGCACGGCAGCTGCCAGCTGTGCCAACCCCAAAGCCTGTGCCTGGGCTGTCCCTGGCTGTCGGGTGCCCACGACTTGCACAGGGATATGGGGTGGTGGCTGCTGGGAAGCTGACATCTTAGCAGGCCCTAACTGAGGTGGCTTGATCGGTGGGATAGGTGGTTTGGATTGGAGAGGGATGGGCGGCTTGGGAGTTGGGTCAGGTGGGAGGGACAGGGGTGAAGACTGAAGCATGGGTTGAACTACCAGGGTTTGGGCTTGCTGCTGGGACTGGGAAGGCGGGACCTGCTGAGTAGGGGGGACTTGTGGGGGCTGAGGAGCAGAGAGGGTTGTGGCTTGCTGCTGCTGCTGCTGCTGTTGCTGCTGCTGCTGGGCCAGCTGGAGGTGTGTGGCTGTGTGGAGGAGCTGAGACTGGCGGTGCTGGAACTGCTGCTGGTGGTGGATGGCGATCTGCTGCTGGATCACCACTTGTTTCTGCTGGAGGTGGATCTGTTGCTGTTGCTGAATCAGGGAATGGGGCTGGATCTGTGTGTAGGTGGCTATGGGAACCAGGCCCAGAATGAAACAAAAAGGAAGAAAAGCAGAAAATCATCATCATTGTGGAAAGTAAAATCGCCTTTCCAAATTGTGCCGTTTTGGAATCACAAAATGAATTGAAATCTAACCTAGAAGGACCTAAGAGATCACCTCATTCATTCTCTTTCCTGAGTCAGACATTGCCAGATATTACCATCTCTAATCTTAAAGATCTCAAGAGAAGAACTCCCTTGTTCAATCACTTTATGACCTCCAGTAATTTCTTACATGTACCTAACTTCTATTTTCTTTGAACTCAGTCAGGTAAGTTGGCCCATCTTCTATGTCAATGGACTCTGAGTTCCTCAAGGCTGAGTCCATGTTTTATTCATTTTTACTTCCCTCAAATCCAGCCCAGCACATTAGAAACACGTAACTGTCACTGAAGAATAAATTTCCATGAGGTAAGTATACCAACATCTTTCTACGAAAGTTAGTTTTTAAGACTCCTCAGTTTAGGTCCCCACCATGAGAAGTCTCAGGAGCAGGCAGCCGAAGGTTCTGACTTTACCCAGTTTCCACCACTGAAAATGAGTTGACAACCTCATTCCCCCCTCATACGCCTACCAGATTGTCCAGAAGACTTATCTGTTATGAAAGCACTTTGGAAACAGAACTGCTATAGTATGTAAATACTAAGTTATTAGTAATACAACTAATAATTAACTTTCATAAATAAATTATCCATAGCAACAACTTATCCATTTGTAACAACAACTAAAGTGCTAGAAATAAGGAAGGTAAAATTAAACATTACCAAGTAAAAAGAAAAACATTACCAAGTAAGGTACACATATCTAACTATATCTAATCAGAATCTGAAAGCAAGTATAAACTATTTGGGGTTGTTATTATCTATTCTTTTTCACCCTTATCATTGACACAGATGATCGTAAGATGACTGTGTGTGTGTGTGTGTGTGTGTGTGTGTGTGTTTTATTGACTTTAGAGAGAAAAGGGGAGAAATAGAAACATCAATGATGAGAGAGAACCATGGATCGGCTGCCTCCTGCATGCCCCACACTGGGGATCCAACACACAACCCGAGCATGTACCTTGACCGGGAATGGAACTGTAACCTCCTGGTTCATAGGTCAATGCTCAAATGCTGAGCCACACCAGCCAGGCACAAGTTGACTATATTAAACCAGGGCTCTATTTGCTAGTCCTAAGTGCCCTAGGACACTTATACCTCCTCTGCTCTGCACTGGGCTACCTAACCACCATTAAACACGGATGAGGAGAGTATTCATCCTTTATGCTAGATTGTTAAGCTCCATGAGGACAGGGGATCTATTTTTCAAAGATGTAAACCTGGCCATCCTAGAACATAGTATGCAACTGAACAAGAACTGGGTAAATGAATAGGTAGAGAAAGTAAACTAGAGAATTCAGGGCCTAAGGCAACTTGTGAAGTGATTGCTGCCTGGTGGAAACAGAAAAGATCTCTGCTACTTGTCCTCCTGCTCCCTGGACCAATATGATCAAGGGTGATCAAGGGTGAGAAGAAGCAAGAAAAAGGCAAAAAAAGAAATGTCTTCTAAAGTTTTCAAATGGTTCTACGAATAATGACATAATGAGAAGTGACCGTTTACCTGAGCTAATAAGGGTCTGGCTGGGAGCAGGTGTAGCTGTCCGTGTCAGGTTCATACCCACGTTCTGCTGACCAGTCCCATCCGCTTCTGCCTTCTTAGCTGCCGCACTTTCTGCCTCTGTCTGGCTGCCCTGGCTCACAGTCACTGTTTGGGCTGCAGGCAAGGGCTGCACCACTCCCGTGCCCTTCCTGGGACAGCTCCCACCACCCCCCATTCCTGAAGAAGGCAGCTGCCCCAATCCCCCAGGGGCCTGGCCACTTCCGCCTGGACCCATGGACCCTGGGATGCTATTTCCACTGCCTCCACCAGCTTGACTAAGGTTGAGGGACTGGCCTGAGGCCCCCGGGGAAGCCTGAGCCACAGCGAGGGCCTGGCTAGAGCCCTGGGAGAGGCTGGAGACAGGAGCTGCTCCAGGAGGAATGGCCTTCTGAGTAGAGCCTTGCATTTGAGGTCCTTGGGCTGAGGCCTGTTGGTTCCTCACTGCCAAGTTCTGCACCTGAAAGATAAGGAGAACAGGACTGAGAAAAGGTGAATAAGAGGCACTAGGGTCAAAGATTTCAGTGACAGATTAAGAAACAGCAAAGACCGCTACAGATATTCCACAGCCCACCTCAACTTGTATGCTCCATTTCCCAAATATATACATTAAAGGCTTTCCAGTCACCAGGGAAAAACTTACAGCAAATTTTATTTTTCAGTCTCCTTTATTCAGTTTCAAATCTATCACAGTCATTTATTCCTTCAAAATGTCTCAGATTTTCCCTTTTCTCTTCATTCATTCATTTATTCATTCATCCATTCATTCAATATCTACCAAATACCTACTATGCTTCAGGTATTACACTGGGTACTGGGAATGCAGAGATGAAAGACACAATCCCTGCTATTAATGAGTACTTTCTACTAGAAAAGACAAAAAATTCACCAGTATAAATATGACACTATGCACAGGTATGCACAAAGTGCTGTGGGAGCCCAGAATAGGAAGAGTAACTCAGAATGCAAAGATTAGGGAGGATTTCCTAACACAGGTGATGCTTGACCTGAGGCCCAATCGGTAATAGTGAAGGTGAGGGTTTGAAGATATAGGTAACATTTGCAAGACCATTGAGCCAAGAAAAAGAATAGCATTATTGGAAATTATAAATATTTCATTGGGTTAGAGGGAGTGGCAAGAAATGAAACTAGGAAGAAAGGCTGAGGCTAGGGGGCAGAAAGGTCCAGATCATGAAGGACTTCGTGTGTTAAAATAAAGAGAGTCTGTACTTCAGTTTGGAAACAGAACGCGTATCTATCATCTTCATTGTTGCATTCCCAGCACCTAGCACAGTTCCAGACACATAGTAAGTTCTCCAAAATATGAATAGAGAGAAGGAATGATCAGTATCTAATTGATTATTGAAGAATATTAATCATGATAAACATGATCAAATCTACAGTTGAAATCATTCTTTTAAACATTGCTGATGGAAATGTACATGAAATCAGTACAACTATCGAAAACAGTTTGGCATCATATCCTAAAATGCACATTCACACATGCTATACTCCAGGAATTCCTGAAGAGAAATCCTTGCCGTGTACAACTGGAGATATATATATATACATACACACACACACACACACACACACACACACATACATACATATACACATATATATATAAAAATGTTCACAACAACACTATTCATAGTAACAAGTGCCTAGAACAACCCAAATGAACATTATCAGAAACGAAGGTAAATGAACTATATTATATTCACACAATGGACTGTTATTGGATATGAAAATTAATAAAGTACATTGACATACAACAACATGGATGGATCATGACAGTAGCTATTAAGAAAGCATTCTCAAAGACTGCATACAGCACCTTGTGGATTGAGAAGAGCACAAATAACTTTAAAATAAAATGTGTATTTTTTATATATTTTTATACACAGGGGTAGACAAAAGTAGGTTTATAATTGTGAGCATAAAAAGTTTATTCTTGTATTATTTATTTGTTATATTATTTATGGTTATTATTTATCTACTTTTGCCCACACCTGTGTACACACCTGTGTGTGTGAAAGGCCTAAAAATATCAGCCATGTGTTCATCAATGTTGAAGCTAGATGGTAAGTACGTAGAGATTTATATCTTTATATGTTTAAAAATTTCCATTATAAAACTGTCTCTATTATATGTAAATCCAATAAAAACATATAAAAAGAGACACAAAGGAAGGATGAATTTACTAGAAGGAATCAGAATGTCCTCACTCTGGGTATTAGATGAATATCCTCACTCTGGGCAGTAGATGAAGCTGGGGTTGCTTATTGTATCATTAAAACTTACTGAGTAAATAAAAGTGCACCATGAATGGACCATTAATGAGAATGTCATGAGCCAAGGATTATGATTTATCAAATTCTGCATATCAGAAGTTCAATTTAAAATGCAAAAAGCAACATATACTTTCTAAGAAAACTTGTGCTGACAGTAATGTGGAAAGGCTGAAGTCAAGAGGTCAATTGGAAAACTAGTACAGTAATTCAGGTGAAAAATGAAAAGAACCTGGATTCAGGCAGTAGGAGGAAAGAAGAGAAGATGATAGCTTTAGAGCATGGTTTACAAGAATCATCAGGATTGGGTGCTGGGGCACTTAATATTATCTGGCAATGATACACTTTTTTTCTAGTCAGCTTCCTTTCCATAATGGCTATTTAAAACATTTCTACTTTCCCTATACATGAGAACCACTTCCTCTTTCCCCTCTCAGCTACCCCAGTGGAAACAATAAAACCATTATATGAGCATGCTTCACAATTCCACCACCAAACCTATACATTCAGCTGCAAAAGCACCCATCGCTTATTTCTCACTTCTCTACTTCTATCCTTCCTTCTTTTCAAGAAACTTATATAATCAATTCTCTCCTATCTCTTCAATCTCTCCTCTATTGGCTCCCTTCCATCAGCATTCTGGAATCTCACTTCCCCTCCCCCAGTTTCATCCTCTTTCCTGTTACTGCTAAACTTTTTTTCTTTTGTTTTAAAAAGATATGTTTTATTGATTTCAGAACAGATGGGAGACGGAGAGAGAGACAGAAATACCAATGAGATGAGAATCATCTATCGGCTGCCTCCTGCATACCCCACACTGGGGATTGAGTCCCAACCCAGGTATGTGCCCTGACCAGGAATTGAACGGTGACCTCATGGTTTGTAGGTGGACACTCAACCACTGAGCCACATCGGCCGGGCTACTGCTAAACTCCTAACAACTGTTTATGTTCACTGCAACTATTCCCACTCTCCAGTCATTTGCCTCACCCCATGACTCCACTGAACTAGCTCTCATCCATGTCGGTGGCTCCATCTTTCTTGCCATCCCTACTGCACTTGATGAAGGACCCTTGCCACTCTTGTTCCATTTTGATCCTTTGTCTTCGTGACACACAATCCAGATGTTTCTTGTCTCTATCAGTCACTCTTTCCTTCTCCCCTTAGGCAGCCATCACCCTTTACTCAGCCTCGAACTGCTCTATTTTCTAAGAGCTCATCCTAACCCTCAGGGCTCCATCTGAAAGGCTTTTCTCTTCCCAATCCATACCATATCCCTAAGAAATTTCAAACACTCCCTTGATTTCAATTATCATCTATATGCCTACTACTCTTGAATGTTTACCTCCAATTCAGAGCTCGTGCACCACATAAAAACCGCTGACCCAGTGTCGTCTTCTGGGTAGCACGCACTTCTAAGCCAGCATATCCAAAAGTGAACTTTACTGCAAATCCACTTCTCTAACATTCATCTCATAAATATCACTACCAGCCAAATCTCTGCAATGCCATAGCTCATCTCAGGCATCTCCATCAACCCTCTACCACTGAACGAGTTCTCCTTTTTTAATAACCTCCTAAGTTTTTCTCAAATCTATTCATTTCTGTCCATCTCAACATCTACCATTTACGATGTTGCTCTTCTCATAGTCACTCAAACCATTCCCATTTATCTTCCATAGAGGAGTCAACAGTCTTGAAAATTTTTTTAAAAAATCAAAAATGGAATCTCTCATGTCACTTCCATGCTTAAAATCCTTCCAAAGCTTCCCACTGCCTTTCAGATACAGCTCCACATTCCAAACACAGCGCCCAAGGTCTTGCAAGATGAGGTTTCTCTGACCATCTCCAACATCATCTCCATTCCTCTTTGCCAAACTCCAGGAACACAGGTCTTCTTTCAATTCCTCAAATATATAATACTCCTTCCCTCCTCAGGATCCTGGGACATGAGGTTCCTCTGCCTTCACCATTCCTTCAATGTCTCCACCTGACCAACTTCTATAGACCCAATTTAACTGTCACCTTCTCAGGGAGACCTTCCCAAGGCTACATTAACTCCCCTTCAGAGCACTCAGTTCGTTCGTTCGTTCTTTCTTTCTTTCTTTCTTTCTTTCTTTCTTTCTTTCTTTCTTTCTTTCTTTCTTCTTTCTTTTTTAATATATTTTATTGATTTTTCACAGAGAGGAAGGGAGAGGGATAGAGAGTTAGAAACATTGATGGGAGAGAAACATCGACCAGCTGCTTCCTGCACGCCCCCCACTGGGGATGCGCCCGCAACCAATGTACATGCCCTTGACCGGAATCGAACCCAGGACCTTCCAGTCCACAGACCAACGCTCTATCCACTGAGCCAAACCGGTTTCGGCTCAGAGCACTCAGTATTTCTAATGAAGCAATTATCAAACCATCCAAGTGATTATTTATTCGATGTTTGGTGCTTCAGTGATTTGTAATCTCTATCAATCTCGGAATTATGACTTTCATGGGCATTCAAGCTAAAAAATGTCTGATATATAATAATGATAGCTTGCACTCTGAAAACTCATTATGTCCAGGCTGTTCAAACACTTATACATATCAACTCATTTAGTCTTCACAATACACCCTGAGGTAGATATTTTATAACATCGTAGATGTTTTATATATGAAGAAACTGGCCAAAAGATGTTAGGTCATTTAACTAGGGTTATATAATAAATCATGAAGTTGGAATCTGGGCCTAACATCAGATTCACATTTTTAACCACTATTCTGTCCCTCCACATGTTGAACCTCAACAAGTAGATGGATAAATGAAACAACTGGATATGGAAGCAGTCTCAACCTCATCCTCTGATCCTACTGCTATTGCCAGAGTTTAAAACAAAGGTCTTACTTTCTTACTAAATGACCCCAAACATTTCTTTTTTCTTTTCTTTTTTAATATTTTTTTAATTGATTTTAGAGAAGAAGGAAGAAGAGAGAGAGAAACATCAATGATGAGAAAGAATCATCAGTCGGCTGCCTCCTGCAAACTCCCTACTAGAGATCAAGACCTCAACCAAGACATGGGCCCTTGACCAGAATGGAAACTAGGATCCTTCAGTCTGAAGGCCGACGACACTCTATCCACTGAGCCAAATCATCTAGGGTGCCCCAACCATTTCTTAGTAGGTTCCCTAATATCTCTTTCTTCACCAGGCACATATTTCCAGATGATTCTTTCTAATGTACCTGCTTTATCCTATTAATCAGTTATTCAACAACCAACAATGACTCCTGATACCTATGGAGTTACTTGGCTTTCAGACTTCTCCCTAACAATGACCTTTTCTCCCATCAAGCATGCTGTCTCCTCTTAATCCACTTACCACAACTCAGTCAGGTATGTGAAATTATGCCTTTACACATTACTGTTCTGTCTCCAGTTTTCTTTTTACTCCAAATCAAATCATACCCCTCTTCCAAAAATTTGCTCAAGTATCCCAAGAGTCAGTGAGAAGTAATGCAGCCAATGCTTCTCTACTTGTGTCACTCAAAGTTAGAGCAATTTACTTTTGTACTTCTTTGTTCTCCAAGCTCTTTATAAAGACTTGACACATATTTACTCTCAGCCCTCCTAAGTTTCTAGTATACATCTGAGCACATGAATAGAAAACTCAATATTACTTGCTAACTGATAAACTAAAATAAAAATAAGTATTATGAGATCCCAGTTTATATCCCATTCATAAAAGATAAAAAATTCAGGCTCAAAATATGTATACAACACTAATACTTTATATATATATTTGGGGGCAGGGAGATAAGGCATGGTGAGAAGCAATGGTGAGAAAGATTTCACTGGGACTACACTGTGAGCAGAAGCAGAGAGAGCTACAGGAACTCATAAAGAGAAGGAATCAAATATTCTGCCAGCAACTCAGCCATGTCAGCTTAACATCTATGGAACAGAATTCCCCCAACCATTCCTCATCTTCCAGAGATAGTACTGAAAGAAGAGAGAAATAAAGACTTCCTGAATAAACTGAGCCATCGAAGGCTAATAAAAATAAATAAATAAATAAAAAATGTTAAGGAAATCTGCCCTATGTTAAAAATAAGACTTCCCAGATCCAGAGGGCTATTCTCAGTCAAATCTATTTTCCTTCCTAATTCAAATAACTCAAAAGTTGTAAGAGACTCAAGTTCTATAGAAATTAAAAGCAAAAAAATAAAATAAAATAAAAATAAGAATCCTGAAAAGAGGTAATGAGGCAGAGGGTGGGCCTTAGTCTGTGGTCGCTCCCTTCATCCTCCCCAGTGCCCGTCCACAGGTCAATGCTGCACTGACCTGATCTGCATCTGCATGAACTCCCGGAGACTGAGCAGATGGCACCTCCTGCTGGACTGCAGCCACTGCCCCGTTAGGCATCAGGATGAGCTGGGAGGCTAGAGGCACATTCCGGCCCAGGGTCCGGTTTACCTGCAATAGGTTTCCCAGCTGTGGCTGGCAAGGAGAGGAGGAAGAGCAGAGGAAAGAGAACAAGAGGAGGAAAAGAGGAAAGACAGAAGAAATGGAAGGGAAGGACCACAAGACAAAATAAACAGAAGATACGAAACAGCGGAGTCCTGCCCCTTTCCACACCAACCCAGGAGGCCCTTATTCTCCATATGTGAGGATTCATCCAGAAGAAAACCTGGAATGTGTATAAAACTACAGGCTGATAACCAAGAGTCAAACATGAGAGAAGCTGAGACAATGAGAATTCCAGAACAAGTATTTATGTACAGTAAGTAGACAGGCTAAGAGAACACTCAGGATTTGTGTACTTGAGCCACAGGTCTAAAGATCAGAGTAGCTGATGCTAATGTAGTCCAATGTTAAGGTGAACATCTTCTAACTTGGGATCTCAATGTAATGTGCAGGCTACCTGTGAATACTGAGCCTAAGTAAGGAAGAAGTAGATCAGCTTGTCTTAAACCAGGTGGGTAACTACGGTTAAATAAAATAACTTTGCTCAAGTCCTAGCCAGGGACGAAACCATTATGCCCCTGGGTCACTGGCAGTGGTGTCTGTGGCTTACCCGTAGATACATCTGAGCCTGGGACTGGTTGAGGGGCGGGGAGGTGGTGTTCCCCAGTAGCACAGATTGGGTCAAAGTGGTGGCACTGGGAGAGCTCACACTCTGGGATCGGCTGATGAGCTGGGCGGCCGACGTGGTGGCCAGATTGATCTGTGTGATACAGAAAGGAACTAGGACTAAGGATTTAGGAGACATAAAAGGAAATGTAAATGACGGATAAACTCAGAGTGGCCCAGTGAGAACAGAATATCTCACTTTCATAGAGTCAATGGGAAGACGATTACCTTCCTATCCACAACTGTCATCCTGGCCACTCCAGGCTATTACCAAAGTAAACAAACTGGGCCTAACCACTGGCGTTAACAGCTGAAAAGGCAAAGGAACGAAACGGAACCAATTTTCCTTGTCACTGAAGGGTCCAGAGATTAGCCCCTTCCCTTTACCATGTCGTCTTCTGCCCCAGGATTTTCTTTCTCCTTTCTTACACCTCCTCATTAAGACGCATACAGATCCAAGTTGGTCACTTTGCCATTTACAAACTTTCTCTACCTAAGGGCAGTAAATACCACTGATGGCTCAATACACACTCCCAGATCAGCTGCACAAAGTTTAACCCAGAGACAAAGACCCAGTGAGAGAAGCCGCTGCGTGGGGAGAAGCAGCACTCACCGAGGCCTGAGTGGTGGCAGTCTGCTGCTGTGCTGTGCTGGCGTTTGGGGAGCTGGCTTGCCGGCTGGCAGCAATGGTGGCCTGTTAGGGATGAAAGAAAATAAGAGCAGAAGCAACAAAGGAAAAGGCTGTGAATCTCCCAGTAATAAATCAGAGGCATAAAACATAACAGACATTTCCAATAAGAACTGAGAGACCCTATTGTGGAGCTAGGACAAGTATATTCACTCTGCCAATAACCCTCACATTACCACGTGTGTTAACCCAACAACTCCCACGTAACCCTCCTGGGACAGCCACGCATCCTGTCTTCCCACTTTCTTTAGGTGGAAGATCCTTTGGTCAGGTCACATCACGAGTCCCTGGTAAACCTAACCCAGAGCTGTCCAGTACGAATATAACTCGAGCCACATAGTATGCACATTTTTTAAAAGAAGAAGAGCCAAAACCGGTTTGGCTCAGTGGAGAGAGCGTCAGCTGAAAGGTCCCCGGTTCGATTCCGGTCAAGGGCATGTACCTTGGTTGCGGGCATATCCCCAGTAGAGGGTGTGCAGGAGCAGCTGATCGATGTTTCTCTCTCATCAATGTTTCTAACTCTCTATCTCTCTCCCTTCCTCTCTGTAAAAAATCGATAAAATATATTTAAAAAAAAGAAAAGAAAAAGAAAGAAAAAGGCGAAGTATACTATAATTCTTTTAAATTTATTGGGGTGGCATTGGTTATATAGATTTCAGGTGTACAATTCTATAATATATCATCCTGTATTGTGTGCTCACCACCCCAAGCCAAGTCACCTTCTATCACCGTTTATCCTCCTCTACCTTCTTCCACTTTATTTTATGTAAGCCAATATATCTCATTTCAACATGTAACCAATGTAAACTACTAAGATATTTTATTTTTTGTCCTTATTAAGTCAAAATCCAAATTCTCAGTGCCCAGCCCCAATGTGAACTGGCCACACCTTGAGCTCTCATAAGCTACACCTGGCTAGTGACTACCACACTGCACAGTGCAGGTCTAGACATGGCCATCCTACTTCTAAAGGGGAGTTTTCCACAGTTCTTGCTGCAACCCCTGAAGCTAAGCTCCACTCCTCCTCCTCCAGGAGGAGCACAGAAGAGGAGACACGTTTCCAGCGTGGCCTAGTGGAGGCTGCCCTATGCCCACACCCACCTGTAGCACCATTCCCTTCCCTCCTGGGCCAGCTGGCTGCTGACCTCTCACCTGCTGGACGGCAGCCAGGCTATGCAGCTGGGCATTGCTGAGCTGCTGCTGGAGCATGAACTGGTGGAAATACTGAGCCGCATTGGGCTGTCGCTGCAGAGCCTGCAGAGCCTAGGAGGAGAAAGAGGAGATCAGCCCACTTAGACGCACTCCCAACTCCTATTCTACACAAATCGCTGTGATCCTGTGAAAGGGACCCGTGGCAAGTAGAGAAACAAAGGAAGATGGGAGTCTGGCTAAATCATCAACTTCTGATTTGTCCAGTTTGTTTATATAAGAACCAGTAAGTTCACATAGTAATCCTCAAAAAGTGGAGAAGCAATTAATTCTGCTATATTCTATTCTAGTCTTATGTATAAAGAAAAGTAAAGCAGTGTAACTCACATGAACGCTTATTTCCCAAAATGGAATCTGGAAATACATAATACAGCAAGAAAAAGAATTGGGACTAGACAGGATAAAAATCAATGAGATGTCAATTAATGTAAAGAGAAGAAAATAAAAGACCATATTCTAGGGGTACAACAGAGGTAATAGAGCCCTAAGGGGTTGGAAGGGGTGAAAAAATAAGAGTAAGTATTGTAGTAGCTTATGAAAGATTCTATCGGGTAAAATTTTTAAACACCTGGCATTTTCGAATATCTATAGTATAATGCTGATAGGTATTTATAAACATGATACTGGTAATTCAGTTTTAGTGTTAATTAATATTCTCTAATAATTAGAGCTATTCTTATGAGGTGCATAGTTATTCTAGCAACCTAAATATTTTAAGTAAAAGGCCCATTCCCAGATTTTGAAAAACATGGAATTTACTGTTTGTCTAAGAGTAAAGCTTTAATCTAAAGAGTTTTACACTCCATTACTCAGAATGATTTACACAAAAGACTGAAGATTAAAAGCCTGGCAATCCATGAAGAGAAATGGTTAGAATCTAGCTAGATGACCTGAGTGGTATAAAAACAAAACAAAAAAATAACACCTTCGTTTAAAGGCTGAATCTCATTCTCTGTCTGCTTGCTCAAATTGCTATAAATTCCTAAGATTCTCAGGGCTAGCAGGGACCTTAGTCATCACCTAATCTAACTCCCCCAGGTTTCTGGAAAGCAACTAAGGGCAATTATCTTCCAGCACCCTCGCCTACCCCAAGCCAACGCTCGCACATCACAGCCCCTCTGAGTTGGGCCTCACCTGAACTGCTTGCCGCTCGTACAGTGACATCTGAGCTATTTGGGGCCGAGAGCTGCCCCCGGAGCTGGAACTCCCATTGGTGGAGTTGGAGTTCTGCTCACTCTCAGTCTCCATGGCAGTGGTCCAGGGGCCCCAAGGCCGGCACTCTGACTCAAGACCTGGATAAAAGGAGCATAGGATTACCTTTGACACCTGATCTCAAACTTTTCCTACACGTTATTCAAATCAGAGACAAGAATCTTCCTCTTCTTCCATAATCCACAATTTCTAGTGTTACAACTACCAAATCTGCAATGCACTCTTCCTCCCCTCTGCCCGTCACAAACCCTCTTTTGAAGTAATGCGGTATCTCAAAAGAAACAACCTTTTCCTATTCCATCACAGCTGTCATTAACATAAAACAGCCGGAATGCCACCTCATACTACTAAGACCACTTTACATTCCCCTAACACTCTGTAACAGTTTAAAATCTTCCTGTTTAAAACTTGTAGCTATCTCGTTTTCTATCTGCACTGCTTAAAACTTATGGTTATCTCATTCTTATCAGCATCATCTTAACGACCTGACCATTGACTGAAAAGCCCGGTGCCTCCTCTCCCTCCTCTCCCGGAGCCAGGCTCTCTCTTCACATACATGACTTCTCCCAGTGCTCTTAGGTAAATAATAACATCCCCACTTGACAACTGTGGAAATGAGGTTTTCTGAAATTAAAGAAGGTGCCCTAGGACGTATCGAGCCTTTACAAACCAGAAGCAGCACATGCTTCTTCTTCAAACCAGAAAAAAGGTGTGTGATTAAGGCAGTATCATTCAGTGTGAGTACTCGCTGTCCTCATTTTATGGAGGCGGGGGCCTAGGATACAGATACGTTAAATACATCATGGAAAGTCATAAAACCGGGAGGTGGGAGGGCGAGGCTCCAGAGAGCCTGGTTCCAGCTCAGGTTACTAACACCTCAGGCCTGGTCCCGGCTCAGGTTACTAACAACACTTTCCCTTCTTGTACCTCAGTTTCCCCATCTGCAAAGGCTTCACAACTGAGTGTAATACGTCGTTTTAACAAATGACTCCCAGGTATTAAACATTAAATAGTTAGTAATGAAAATCAGTAAGAGAGTAAGATTCAACTTTTTTAGTCCACTAAAATGATCACCATCTGCCCTCTGGGGTGTACACTTAACATTCATGGGTGAAAACCAGGCAAAAAAATAAAAAAGAAACAAGAAGACGTGTATGCCTCCAAGGCAGCACTAAATGGTAAGGTTTGTCTTTGTTCATTCTTGTTTTCTCTTTTGTTTAACCTGGACACTCTATTCTGTACTTGAGGAATAGGAGCCATTAGAAATATTAGGTCAGCAAAGCACTCTTTGGTTTACAAATGTAAACATCAAACCAGAATTTGTCCACAGTTTTATTATGGTGGGTTTATCTTAATGAATGCATCCAAAACAAGCACACTAAGTAAATAAAATCAAACTACATGGCCTACAGAGTTGGGGAGATTTCTTGTTACTCCATTCCCAATATCACCTGATCGCATCAGTACCCCCCAAGAACTACCCCTCTCTTCAGTTCCATTTAGAAATAGCAAATGTCACTGAAAACTTGGGTATAATAACCCAGGATGAATATAAGGAGAAATCATAGCAGCTTCCACTCCAGTCTATCTTCTCCCCACATCTTTTGCCAAAATATCAAAGCACTAAACAGATACAGACCCATGAATCCTCATTATCAGCATGTGAAAAAAAAAAAGTGGGTAAGGGTTAGAGGCAGCACGCACAGTTGTATAGATCACGGACGGGGCTTAGTTCCCTGGACTCGAGACATGAGACCCCTTCACTAGCTAGGGAGGGACACGAATTCCTACATTCATAGGTGAAAATGCTAATAAACTATACGATGGATCCCTCACTGTCCCCCCTCTTCCCACCCCCCAATTCAATCCTTACTATTAATGTCTTCAGATTGTGACATGACTACAGAGATGGAAAAGGACCGGCTTTGAAGTCTCGGATAAAAATCAAGGGGGAGTTATCCAAAACCAGAATTCCTGCATTCCCAAGGCACATAAACCGAGTCGTCCGCGACCAAGGTTGGATTTGCAAAAGCGAGCACAGAACATAAAAACGACAAAAAAAAAAAAAAAAAAAAAAAAAAAAAAAAAGTTTAGGCGGCACGGTGAATTTCAGTTTTCCGAATTAAAGGGGAAGAAAAGAGTGAAAGAAGCCGGCCCACAGAGGTCCCCAGAAGAGCCGGCCCACGGGTCACCCTGAAAGGTAGGGAGCACCTGGGTGAGTAGGGGGGGAGTGGGTAGGGGCACAGATCCCCCTGGAGAGGGGCTAGGAAAGGACACAGACGTGGACCCGGTACCGGGCCTTGACTGAGCTCAGAGTATCCTTGGAGGGAATCGAAATTCCCAAAGCATAAAAAACTCTGTCCTGGTGAAAGGATGGGGAGCATGGGAAGGGGGTGGCTCGGGGGAAGACTGTGCCAAAGAAATGCAAGTCACCCGGAGAACAGGGACAGCAGACGCCCAGGGGTCCCTGGGTGTAGGGAGCTCCCTGATGAAAAACGGGGTTCCAAAGGGAAACCAGACACCACACCGTGGGGGGAAAGGGAGGACCGCGCCGGCCCGAGTGAGCGGGGAACTGTGCGCAGAGAGCGGGGCGACAGGCAGGGGGAGGCGGGCAGAAGTCCAGGGGCTGCAGACCGGGGGACCCCGCGGACCGTAAAAAGCGGGGAGATAACTAGACAGCGAGCCTGCTCGGGGGCGGGGGGCGAGCCAAAGTCAGAGGAGGAAAATGAATGAGAAAACGAGCGAGCAGTCCGGAGCAGCGAGGAGGGGGGCGGACGGACGGACGGACGGACAGCATCCAGCGCGGAGACGTGAGCGGCGGAGAGGAGCCCGAGCCGAGCGCGGAGGGAGGGAGGGAGGCAGGGAGAGCACCGGGGGAGGTCCCGGGCGTCACCCCGCCCGCGGCGGCCGGAGCCGCCACCTCCCCGCGCGGCCGAGCCCCCGGAGGCCCGCCCCTCCCCGGCCCGCGGGCGCCGCGTTACCTTCGCGCCCGGCTCCGCACCCGACGGCTCGCGGGGGGCGTCCGCCTCATGGGCAGAGGGGACCCCAGGCTGGGCGGGGGGCTTCGTCGGGCCTCGGCGGCGGCGGCGGGCTCCCCTCGCCTCCTCCCCTTCCTGGAGGGGCGGGGGCGCCGAGGGCGGGGTGGGAGGCGCCCGGCGCGGCCCGCAGCACCCCGCCCCGCCCGCCGCCGCTCCGGGTCCCGCCCGGCCGCCGGGGCTGCCAGGGCCTCCGGGACGGACGCGCTCGGGGCCTGGTCACTTCCTGCCGGGGCCGAGGGGTGGGGGCCGCCGGCCGGCCGGGGGCTGCGGGCCGGGCGGGGGGAGGGGGCTGGCGGGGAGGTGCTTCCGGGGCAGCGGACCCCTCCCCCGGCCCCCTCCCCTCGGCGCCCGCCTCCCCCTCCCGCCGCGGGTCCCTCGCTTCCTGCCGGCGCCCGTTGCCATGGCGACGGCGCTCGCGGGCCTCCGCGCTCCGGGCCCGTGGGGTGGGGGGGTGGATTCCCCCCTCTCTGCGCCGTGTCCCCTCCTTTCTCCTCTTTTTTTTTTTTTTTTTTTTTCCTCCTTCTTTCCCTCCGACTTCGGCTCCGCGGACGAAGGGAAGACACTGGCCCCTAGCGGGGAAGGCGCCTCCCGGAGAAAAAGGGGGAGAAGGCGGGGAAGTGACGTGGGAAGGGAGAAAACAAGGTGCTTTTCTGAGCGACCGAGGATGGCGGGCAGGAGGGAGGCATCCCAGGGTCCCCGGGCGGAGGAGGGGGAAGAAGAAGGGCAGGCAGCGGCCCCGGACCGGCCGGCTGGGAGGGGAGGGGAGGAGACCGGGAGGGAAAGCCGGGATGGAGCAGGAGGAGGGAGAGGGTCCATGGCTGCACCGCTCCCCCAAAGGCGGGAAAGAACCTCGCCGAAACGGTGCACCCCGCAGGAGAGGACGTCCGCTTCCAAGCAGCCGCCGCCCCCCATCGCTCGCTTGGAAGGACACGCCGAAGCCTGTCCTCTCAGGGGTTGTGTGTCCTTGTGCGTTCTTGGTTGTAAACGTGTGTGTGTGTGTGACAAAATCCAGGGAGAAGGCCGGGGTGTGAAGGGGAGAACAATGGGGCTGCATCTGGGGGTATCTAAGGATCGGATAAGGCGGTAGCAGCCTTTGTCATGTATCCTTTTTTGTTGTTGTTGTTGTCTTTTATTCTCTTCCGCTTGGGACACTTAGCACCTAGGTAGGGAGCTCTCCCCATGTGCCACTCGAAGTGTTAGAGGGTTGGGTGATATCAGTGCCCAGCACAGGGATCATCACCCTCGTGAACCTTTTACAGGAGGGGCCGGGGACACCTGGTGGATTCACCAACGAGGGTTATTCGTGTCTCTGCGGTTATCCTAGCCCACTAATTACTGTCACCGCATCTCTTGTTCCATCCAGGTGTTTTCTTTGTCAACCCACTCTGGACTCTCGCCTTTCAAAGCCAGTGCATGGTTTGTTTTTACAAGAGATCCAGACGTGTTCCCTTTGTGTAGAAGTGAGATCCGCTTAGATTTGCATCGAGAGGGGAGTGATGTAGGCTCTTCATTGGCAGCAGCCAGATTGGTGTCAGGAGAATCTCTGCCAGGCTTCAGGGAGCCAGTCAGACAAGTGTGGGAGGGGAGGCAGGAGAGGGCAGCCAAAGGGCTGGGGAAGTGCAGGCCCGAGGGGCGGGCAGGTGGGAGGGTATGTCGCCAGGGTGAGTGGCAGGCTTTGGCTGAGGATGAATTGAAAAGATTCTGGCAGAGAATTCGTGGGTAAAAACTAGGTAAGGAATTAGTCATTTAGATTTGTACCCTGCCAACGTTTAACGCTTCCCTGGGAAGGTTGAGAACGGATATGCTGAGCCCCAGCTGAATATCCGAGCACCAAGAACAAGTGGTACCTATCGATAATCTTCAGATTTTATGATGTTCAGGTGGAGAAACATGACTCATGTGCTTTCATGGGTTCTGAGGGAGAATTATCACTAAGTGTCTACAGAAGCCCTGTACTCTATCTCAAGGATAAGGCGTCCAGATGCCACGAGTGTCTTTTTTCCCAATCGCCTATGAAACTGGCACGCCTCATGGGTAACCGGACCATTTCAGCCCCATGAGATGTGGAGCAGAACGTCTATCAATTCACTTAGTTACATCCCACCTCTAAGGACTTTTTTTTTTTTTTTTAATTTCCTGAATCTTCGGCCCCTACATCTACTAAAAGTTACCCGTTTAGATGATGTCAGGGGATAAGATAGTGATGAAGTGTAATTTTGTTGACTGTCGGATGTAAATCTAGCCTAGGAATACTCTGTCACAGAGCATGCCTTATTCATTATGAGCCAGTGATTTAACTTATGTAGAGACTTTACCCCATGTTTCGCAGGAATTCTTTTCAATTTCATAATTCTCCAAGATACAGGCATCTTCCTGGGTCACAGGTTTAAGCAATTTCCCAAAGAAATTTTCAGAATAAAAAAAGGAAATGTATCCAACAGTAAAGTGAAGTAGTAGACAACCTCCATTCATAAGACAGTCGTTGTGGGCTGAATCAGCTTGGAAACAAGTACAGAATGGCTTCCCCACCTAAATGGAGCAAAACAATTTGGTGATTCCTAGAAAATGCACAACTGGCTTTTCTTTTTTTCTTTTTCTTTTTTCTTTTTTTCTAAACTTTCTCATTTTCATTTAATGATCCTGCTGGAATTAGTCTTTTCTTTTCCAAACCAGATAGTTCTTGTGAATGGAGGCTAAATAATTTCTTTACTCTGCATTACACTGAAAGTCATTAGCTTAAAGAGGTGAAAAGGAAATGCATTCTATCTGGTGAGTGGAAATTGAACCCTCCCCCCACCTGCAAACTTATCTAAATAAGGAAAAATCAGGATTTGAAAGGAAATCAACTGTTTAGAAGCAACTAAATCACGTAGAATAGAAAATAGGCTAATGTAATTTTGTCTATCAACTGAGCATTCTTCAAGCTTCTCTTTTAAGCCACATTGCACAATGCGTTGTGAAGGGAGAGGTGCTCCTTAACCCTAGAGGTGTTAGTATCCTTGGAATGCGTCTATTTACAAGTAACCAAGCAAGTAAGCACGGGAGATCACATTTTTATGTAAATGTGGGTAGGATGAAGTAGGAAGGGGGTGGGGGTGGGGGGAGAGAAATCAAAACCTTTGCTCTAATCAGCACCAATTTGGGCTATAAACCATCCCACCTCCCACCCCCATCCCACCACAATTCTATATGTCACTTTAACATCTGCTTAGGAGATGAAATGAAGAGAATGGGGATTTATAGACTCCTAGATATTCAAAGCAAAAAAAGAACTTTAAAAGGATCCAAGCCCCTTAATTTTGAGTGGAGAAAATTGAGGACTAAAAGATGAAGAAGGGGAACATTTTATAAGACTTGGCAAATAGATGCCCGAAAATATTAAGTTAATTTCCTAGATGCTCTCTCTCAACTGAAGGAAAAAAAAAGGCAGGGGGGAAAAAAGCAATTAAAACATATGAGGAGACTTCTCATTCCTCACCACTAATATCCATGATGGTGTTGGGGACACACCCCAAATACTAGCAGAGCCCCTTGTGGTATATTAGTGAGTTAAAGCTGAGGAAGTTTGAGAAAAAGGTAGCAACAGGAAAGTCACTCTGATTACTTCCCTCTTCCTTCTTTCTAAGCCAGGTCAGAACACCTTCTGAGAGGTGCCCCCGAAGGAATGGAGGATCTTATATATAAGGTGCCCCTTATCTCTGAAGTCAAAAGAGCACCAAGAAGAATCCACTTACCTCATGCTCCTTAACTTATGATATCCCCCCATGACTATGCACACTTCATCAAACCCAACATAAAAATACACCAGTCTAGCCTGAGCGGCTCAGCTCAGGATTGAGTAACCTATGAACCAGGAGGACATGATTCAAATCCAGGTCAGGACACATGCCCAGGTTGTGGGCTGGATCCCTAGTGTGGGGCATGCAGAAGGCAGCCGATCAGTGATTCTCTCTCATCATTGATGTTTCTATTCCCTGCTCCCTTTCTCTCTGAAATCAATATATATTTATTTATCAATATATATATTTATTTATTTTTTAATACACCAATCTAACTTGCTTTGGTTCCTCATTTCTTCATGAAGGCTCTTGTGTTACATACAACTCAAGTTTTGTTGAAATAAATGTGTAGGCCCAAGATGGAGCAACTCCGGCCTAGGGTTCCCCATCAGCAAACTAAAACTTACATAGCATCCTTGTCCCTGCAAATGTTCCACTTGACCACAAACAGTCTATCCAGTTGGCCAGTCCCCAATGCCAGGCCAACTCTGGGCTGTATATTACTAACTTTTTCATTGTTCTTTATCCTACAAAGCTTCCTGCCTTGCACCTGATTTTGCAGTCCTCCTAATGAGACTGTCCACTTGATGAAGTGTTGAAGTTTGTCACCTAAATTGTCTCCTTTAGTCATTCTATTTGTTTTTTGTTTTGTTAATCCTCGCCCAAGGATATTTTTACATTGATTTTTAGAGAGAATGTAAGAGAGAGGGAAAGAGAGAAACATCGATGAAGGAACACATGAATTGGTTGCCTCCTGCACCAACCCTTCCAGGGCCTGGGCTGGGGAGGAGCCTGCAACCAAGGTTCATGCCCTTGACCGGAATAAAACTCTCAAGACCCTTTGGTCCACAGGCTGATGATCTATCCACTGAGCCAAACAAGCTAGGGCTCCTTTAGTCATTCTTTTAATAATTTGTATGCTTTCCTCCTGTTAATCTGTCTTTGTCAGTTTAATTTTCAGACTCAGCCAGAGACCCTAAGGGTTGAGCAAAGCTTTTTCCTACCTTACACCCACCATAATCCTTTTCTTTAGAACAGAAGTTTAAAATTACTATGTTGATTGGCTCAACTCAATATTCCATGTATCACTACCTTCTTAAAGAGACATACATTCCCACAAAAGCATCAACAGTTTAGACAGTTACTATTGATTAAGGGCAAATCATGCACCTCTCAGCTTTGGTTTTCTTTCTGTAAAATGGGAATAACACCCAGTATTTTTTTTTAATAGTGAAATGTTTATACAGTATTTCATACAGTGACTGACATAGTTCAAGCTATTATTAGTTTCCTTTGGTAACCCAGTATATTTCTGTCATCACCAA